GACCCGATCTGCCCTACAGCCCCCCACGCCCAGCCTCGCCCGCGCCCTCAGCGTGACTCAGCGGCTTCCCGTGCCCCGCTGACCTCTGCGAGGAGGCGGCTTGTGAAGGCAATTCCTCTCCTCCTCTTTCCTCCTCCTCCTCCCTCACAGCCTGTCCTCCCAAGAGGCGTCCGCAGGCACAGGAGGAGGCGGCAGCAGCAGCAGCAGCCACAAGTGAGCGCCCAGCACGAGCAACAGGCGTCACCACCAACCGCCCGGCCAACCGCCCTTCCTCCCGTTGACTGACTGACTGACCCCAGGGATGGAAGGTGCCGCCGCCGCCAGGAGTCCCCCGCGTGAGGGGGAAGACCTGCTCCCCATGTGGACCCAGAAGAGGGGCTGCGAGGTGTTGAGGGACCCCTCTCTCAATAAGGTACCTTAAATGGAGTCGGCCTGTGGGTGTGTGTGTGGGTGTGTGTGTCGGAGGGTCGGTTAACGAGGAGAGGCGCGAAAAAGCCGTGAGGGGACCGGCGTCAACTTACACATCCTCCCGCCACCCCACACCCTTTTTGCACGAGATAAATATATATATTCCCCCCTCTCCCTCGGAAGTGAATCGTGCTCGGTTCAGTGGGCTGGGCTTCCCGGGCAGTTTGCAGGGCTTGCGAGCGCAGCGCCGGGAAGTTTTCGCCGGCGGAGGGAGGTTTGTGGTGTTGTTGTTTTCCCCCCTCCACGCTCGCTCTCCCTCTCCGTCGCTGTAACCGAGCCGGTTGGCCTTTTCTGCCTTGGCTCCGCCCCAGCGCTCGGCTCTCGCCTTTTCCTGCAGCCGTAGGGAGAGGAAGCGAAGCGGGGCAGCAAAACACCTTCCTCTCTCCGCGCGCGAAAGCCCAAACCCACGCTGGACTCCCCGGGGAGTTTTATGCCGAGTTATTCGTCCCTTTAATCTTCCCACTCCCCATCTCATGTTCAAATGCAAGCTGGACATGGTGCGGTGGTGCTGCTTGCTTATGCCTTATAATCTGTGCAGGCGCGCGCGCGCGCACACACACACACACACACATACAAAAACACACCGGTCAAAAAGTTTCATAATTGTCTACACGCGCGCAGGGTTGCCAACTGGTCCAACAGCAACCGTCCCAGTTTGCTTCTCTGACCTTGACAGGTTTATGATAGGTGCTGCAATCAGCCAGGAGATGGTTCTCTGGCAGAGCAAACTGCTGTTCAAGGGACAGCCCCTTCAAACATTAGAAGAGGTGTCTGCCCTGACCCTCATGGCACAAGAACCTTGTTCCTTTCCTGCAGCCAAGCTGTTAGGGCCACTGGCCACAACGTGATTTCCTCATGTGGAGCAGCAGTTTGGCTCTAGTCAGCTGTCTGTTCCTGGCAGTAAAAATTGACTCTTTCAGCAAAATCTGCGAGTGCCTTGGTCATGATCAAGTGGTGCTATTGCCTTTCCAGAGTCAGACCACACTATTTAATAGGAGACACACTTTTAAAAATCCCTGTGCCATTTCTCTCCATTACCTACTGCCTTCCAGGCAACACTCTGTATAGTGGCTCCAGCTCCACCAGCCCATTGGATATGAATGGTCACAGTTGTCGGGTAAGTTCTAAACTTGTTCTAAACTGAGCAAGTTACAAAAAGAGAGAATTGTTTTAAAGATGTATGGGGTGTGTTGTTTTAAAGATACATGGAGTGTGAAATCACTAAAGGGATATGCTTCTCTGATATCCTTATTTTTGGGTGCATGTGTGCAAAGAGAAGAGTATGAAATGCACAGAAGCAGAAGAGTAGGACGTTACAAAAGGAAGAGAGAATCAAGTCCAACTTAGCAGTTTTATCAATCAAGAAGTTAAATATCTTTTCAAAGGTCTTAAACTTGTCTAAAACATTTAGAAAAGCACCATAAAGGATATTATTACTCAGGAAAAGATGGGTAACAGTACATGGTGGATTGTAAAAAAAAGGGGTGAATATAAGTATCTATGGAGTACTTTGGGGAGTTACCTTGGCGCCAGTTTTGTGCATTACTTGAAGGTGGTGGGAAGTTGGATTATCAACATAGTTTCTGCATGTTTTCTTGGAAGTCTGTAGTTCAGCTAGAGTTTTAGACCCTCGACTTACTAGTCTTATGTCCCCCTTCTGTTTTTAGACAGCTATGTGCATGGCTTTTGGAAGGGCTGGAACTGAAGCTCAGTGGTAGAGAGTCTGCTGGCATGCTGAAGGTCCAAGGTTCTTTTGTTTCAGATTGGACTGGGAATGTCTCTTCTCTGAAACCCTGGAGAGCTGCTTCCAGTTAGAGTAGACGATAGCAAGCTAGATGGACTAATGATCCGACTTGGTGTAAGGCATTTTCCTATGTTCCTAATGGATGGAAAAATGAGTTGTGAAGCACAGATTTCGTACCCCCATTCTGTGCTTTACAACTGCTTCTAAAGTCCAAATATGTTAGAACCAACCAAACAAAAGTTTATCAACCCTGATAAGAAAGATATACTTTGAGCATGTGCAGATTTGCATGGTAATCTCAAACCATAGCACTATCATGACTTTAGGGACAGACTGGTGGTGAGGTTGGAGTCATGCAGTTGCGCTGACAGGACCTCCTCTGACCAATCAAAAGTTTTTTCTTATTTCACAACATTTATATACTGCTTGATCGTAATAAAACCTCAAACCAGTTTACTTTTTCCATGGGGATGCCTAATATAATATAGTTAATATAATAGAATATAGAATAGGACAGAATAAAATAGTAAGTGCTGTTTAGAATGTGGTTCTGCAATTCAGTACTGCCTATAACATCACTGGGAATGAATGGCAGTCTCTCATCCTCAAAATCTGTGCCATTTGATAAACACTTGGAATCTTCTCTATTTGATTTATACCTGTGTGCTGCCCCCACACCTTCCATTAAAAAAGGGTGGGAGTATAAGTTCCCCTTGTATAGAGTTTTTAGCCCTCTGTGCATTTCATAGCTATTACACAGGGCCAACCTTATTGTTAGGCAGAGTGTAGCAACTGTCTCAGGCAACTGATTTTAGTGTCATGAAAAGATGGCTAATTTTTAATTTGATTTATTATTACAGCACTATATTTTTACTGCAAGGAAAAGGCATTTCTAGAATTTTCCATTTTGGGTGCCAAAATAACTTGACTGGTTGACTAGGGCGCAAAACCATTTGCTGCTTGGGCTTATGCAGCAAAATGCCTTGGGCAAGCACTGACTAGTTTGGATTAGAGCTGGCTCTACTATGGCAGTTAAGATAAAATCAGATGTTTCTAGAAAAGACCTTTGTGTAAGATACAAACAGTTACCATTTTAGCTATTTGTTGTAGGTTCATTAGCTCATGACAAAGGAAAGAACATTGGATACTGGTTGTTCCCAAGAAGATAATGAGCTGCCAGTCATTTAGCCCTGACTGAGGGTTTTGGAGGGTAAGGAAAAGTAGGAATAACAAACCAGTATCCAGTAAAAAAATTCTCTTAAAAAAGTAGATGGTGTTAAAACTCTTGATCTAAGAAGTAAAATGGAATCCTATTTATGTGCAGTTTATATGGGAAGCTATTGCATGAAGAGGAGTAATTTTAGCTGAAAGTCGTTGTGAAGAGCACACCTGCAGAGTTGCTATGTTAGACTGGAGGACAGTTATGAAATTCTGGGCCCTGTTTATTTTTTGTTTGTAGAAGTGATTTATTTGATATACCATACTTTTCTGTCTATAAGGCACCCTCATGTATAAGATGCCCCCTATTGGGGCCCCCCTCAAATTGAAGAAAATGGGGGGGACGCAAGCAAAATTGCCGAAGTGGCAACCAATCCACAGCAGCCCTTTCCACATCTGCTAATAACCTGCCCATTTGACAAAGCAGCAGCCAATCCAAAGCAGCTGTTGCCGCATCCACAAATGATCCACCTGGTTGACAAAGCAGCAGCCAATCCAAAGCAGCTCTTTACGCATCCACAAATAACCCATCCAATTGACAAAGCAGAAGGCAATCCAAAGCAGCCCTTGCCGCATCCACAAATAATTGATTGACAGCCCTGAAGAAGGTGAGGAAGGGGTGCTGGGTGTGTGTGTGTAGGGATCCAGAAAGGCTGGCCCAGGGGCGGGGAGAGAGAAGCCGACTGGCCCCTCAGAGAGAGAACTTTTGCCTCCCTTCCCCCCCCCTTGAACTTCCCCTTCACGCACCCTGTGCGTTTGTCCCTCCAATGGCAATGGGTAGATCACTGCCAGTTTTTTATACTGGGTAGTAGATTGCAACCTGGTCTATTGCTTTCATTTTATAGATCAATGGTCTTGTTAGATAGTAAAATTCATGTTAAATTGCTGTTTTAGGGGTTGTTTTTAATTGTCTGGAACGGATTAATCCATTTTGTATTACTTTCTATGGGAAAGTGCGCTTTGGTTCTGGAACGCTTTGGTTTTGGAACAGACTTCTGGAATGGATTAAGTCTGAGAACCTCGGGTTACATACACTTCAGGTTACAGACTCTGCTAACCCAGAAATAGTATCTTGGGTTAAGAATTTTGCTTCAGGATGAGAACAGAAATTGTGTGGCGGCAGCAGTGGGAGGCCGCATTATCTAAAGTGGTGCTCCAGGTTAAGAACAGTTTCAGGTTATGAACGGACCTCCAGAACGAATTAAATTCTCAACCCGAGGCACCTGTAACTTATACCACTGTATAAGTTACAGGTGCCTTAAAATCTGTGGACCTTACCTTGGGATAATGTGGAAGTTTCCTCTTCAAATGTTTTGCTAAAACATACTGCCTCTTACAATTCCACATTAACTTGTGAAGTTGTTCTTTACTGGATTATTATAGTGCCATCTCTTTGTAGGTCCCATTATTAGGGTCAAATTACATATTCATAGTAACTGTATGTAATATTGACTACAAGACTGCTTTTCCAAAGTGGCCTTAGACAGGGAAGTAAACAAGAAGCCTGAGTGTGAGCAGGTGGTTAGACCTTTCTAACTTGCTGCTTTCCCTTTGAAATCTCCCCTTTTACCTTTTTTCGCTTGGAGGTTTCAGGCTGGATCCACAGCAGTTGTAAAAGTGCCTAAGGGGAAAATGAAAAAGGTGAACATAAGACTAGTGTTCCATGTACTGTAGATGTGTTGGCCTTAATATGATTATCAGTATTGGAGTATAGGAAGTAGCCTATTTTCTCATTTTTTCTTTCTTCTAAGACCCTCCCTAGGATCTTCATATACTGATTCATCCCTACTTTCTCTGTTTATCTTTGGTAGCTGCCAGGTTGAGATAAACAATTTTTCTAGGTTTTGTTTAAGACTTTATCTTTTTTTTTAAGATGGAGGATGAAGGTGTCCATACTTTATGATGTATGTTCATATGAACTATGAGAATAGAATCTATCTGCAGTACTGTGTATCTGTCCTAAGGTAACATGAGCAGCAGCCCTTGCTTGAACTTAGGGGGAGGCGTGGTCAGGGTTTTTATTTATTTATTTGGGGAAGGTTTACAGAGTCTGACAATCCCAGGTCTAGACAGAATGTCAATATGTAAACCAAAAGCTCTGCAGAGTGGGACCTAATCTTCTTAACCTCTTTGTAAAATGCCTATTTTTCAGGGGGAATCTAAAAGTTAGATATGCTGAGCTGGCTCATGCTTCTTCAGGCAGGAAGGGAGCCTGGCCTTCAGTAATTTCTTAAGATAGAAAAAGTTCAAGGAGAACTCTATTTCCTTTTGGGAATACTTTAACAGGAAAGTAGTGTGATACTGCTTCAATAAAATGCTGTTGAAGTGGTATTGTAGCTTCTGTTCCTTTTGGAGGTGAATGCTTATTTTATGTCTCTCCTGAAAATGTTTCAGAGCAGGGGTACAAAAAATTAAAACTTTGCATGGGCCACTGTGCCTGTTTTATTTCAGCTATTGTATTATGTGTGAAGGAGAGAAAAGGCAAAACAAACCTAACCTTCCAGGTTTTCTTAATGAACATAAAATAATCACTTTTACTCTTTGAGGATCATCCGCCTAAACCCTGTTCAAGGTCATAGTTAACAAGAAAGTGCAATTTCAGTTTCTATCTCAGTTTTGGTTTTCTGTCTTCATCATTCACAAGGGTGTGAAATGGGCCATGAATCATTGTTGCTGCAGCTACAATTGATGCTACAGATTCCAGTATTACTGAAGCTCTAAAACTGGAATGCAGTTAAGGGACTTTCCAAATGTTGCTAAACTATGAGTTGCATGATCCATGACTATTGGCCATGCTGGCTGGGGCTGATGGCAGGTGCAGTCCAACAACAACATATGGAGGGCCACAGGTTCATAAGAAACAAAATCCCAAAATATCTTACAAGGTTACTGTAGGGATTGCTGAAAAGATGCATGTGAAGTGCAATAAACACCAAAAGCACTATATAAATGCTCGGCGTTTTATTCACACTGTGAACATGCTACAAAGAGTCATAACACAGGCAGAAGGCTAGTAAAAATGATTGTGGTTGTAGAATTTTGTGTAAAAAGTCTTAACATTTTGAGGTGCATGTAGGAAAGCAGGAAGAAGAAGGCTAGCAATAATATCTTGCAGACAACTGCTTGGGAGTGCTCTTACCCAAATGTGACATAAATATTGCTTCTCTCCTGTATCTTAATCACAGGGAACTGGAAAAACTGAGTAATAATTGAGTTTCCTCTTCTTAAGATCAGCCCCCAGCAGTGGCCCTGATGGCCACAACACTCCTTTGTTGTACAGTGGTACCTCGGGTTAAGTACTTAATTCGTTCCAGACGTCTGTACTTAACCTGAAACTGTTCTTAACCTGAAGCACCACTTTAGCTAATGGGGCCTCCCGCTGCTGCCGTGCCGCCAGAGCATGATTTCTGTTCTCATCCTGAAGCAAAGTTCTTAACCCGAGGTAATATTTCTGGGTTAACGGAGTCTGTAACCTGAAGCGTATGTAACCTGAAGCGTATGTAACCCGAGGTACCACTGTATTGCCACTACATAAGGTCAGCTAAGGATGAGGAATGATTCTCACACTTTCTGACTGTCCACTACCTGAAACTTGTTTGGCTGTTACTTTGCCCATGCCCTAGCTGCATCTACAAGGCATGTTTCCAATCATACATTATATCTGGTCTTGTGAAAATTGTGTGCATGAAAATTAGTTTGTTGATAAATTATCAACATTATTTCATTTTTTGAATGATAAATTTAGTGATTATACGCCATCATATTCTCTGTTTATGTCTAATGAATTACTCTAGGTTTGTTAAGATGTTACTACATCTGAATTTTTAAGAATGCGGTAGAATGTGTAGTATTGGTTTTTAATTATTTGTGCGTGTACATATACATTGTTAATTTTAAAAATCGAATAGAATAATGACCTACAATAACTCATGCTTCTTATGTTGGCCTCTAATACACTACAAGTTTGTAATTTGTGGGGTGATGACACCATGTTTTCTCTGTGTGTGTAGACATGGAAGGATGGACTATTCGAGTGACACAAGACTAGAAGAGTTGGAGAGTACTGTCTGACAGCTTTGAGAAAAACTGAGAATAAGCCTTGGTTTTTCTCATTTGTTTCCCTATGCTGTTTAAAACAATATTACCAAAGTGGCCAGGAATTTGTTCTATGTGATTGCGGACTGACCTAGATTCCAGATGCCTGCATCTCAAACAGCCTTCAGTTTCCTGAAGTGGCTTTATTCTCTAAATAATTTTGACATAGTTTTTAGATGCCACTTGGGTCTTCAATTTGGTAAATCATACCAGATATAAAACGGCTGAGAAGCTATATTCCAACATGTGACAACAGCTACCACTTATATAACAATAACCATTTATTCCAACTAGTTAATAATCTGACCAATTTATTTCTACTTAGACCCCTTGAAGTAATTTGGTGTGTGTGAGGGGTAATTAAATAGTACTCAAAAGGGCCAATTTTACATTTTATTTTTTCTATCCACAGAACAGGAAAATCCAAATGAAAGTGGGGTGTGTGTGTAGTCTGCTACTTAGATGAGGACATAATGTGAATGTCATGATAAACATGCACACAAATCCATTTTTCCATTCTAAATTGCCACATGTACACAACCTAAACACCAAAAGTCCCTTAAAAAGGCAAAAAGAAGGGACTGGGCACTCGTTTAAAAATATGATCATTTTCTAGGCAAGGGCAGGAAGAACACCCGTGAATCCTTACAAGTAGCTGTTTGAGATTTAGGGGTCTGCCACTTTTCTTGCCCACCTCTCTGGCTGCAGCAAGTAGAACCTTAATTCTACTACACAACAAGAGGTGAGCAAAAGTAAAGAAAGCAGAAAAAACTGCCCTGCAAAATATCTTGAGCCATTTCAGTTTGAAAGAAGGATGCCACAGAGCTCAAGTGGGATACATGATTTCCTTACCTCCAATTTTATCTTTACAACAACCAGCAATAAACAGCCCAGCAATTTCCAGCAATCTTCTTGGCTGAGCGGAGACTTGAAATTAGGCTGTACAAGTACAAATCCAAAAATTTAGCCACTAGAACACACTGCTGCTGCTGCTGCACAATTTCACTACAAACACTAACAACACACACACAATGATGTATTTCAAGATTTTAAAAAACTGTACAATAGTCAAAGATATTAAATGTGAAAAGATTGGCTACATAGCTAATATATTTCTCTACACATTGCAACATCTACATGCTAACAGAAACTAGAATTCCCACTAAATCAGAGATAGCCAAAAAGGTGCTCTCCACCAGTTGTTTGACTCCAATGAACTCCAGCCAACATGTTAGCGGTAATGAGAAATTAGGCCCTGTTCTACCTTAACAATGTACCGTACTATCCAACAATGCAGTACGTCTGACCTATGGTATAGACAGACCTTCAAATACGGCTCTTAGGCTGGAGCCAAGCTTTTTATGGGTTCCCTCGCCCTTTCATAACAGTTTCTAACTAGTTCTCTTAGTGGTGCAGCAATAAAACTGCTAGCACATTTGCAAAACTAAGCAGGGTCCAGTATGGTTTCAAATTGGATGGTGCACCGCATGTTGAGATGCCTGCATTGCAGGGGGTTGGACTAGATGCCACCGAGGTCCCTTCCAACCCAACAATTCTATGATTCTATGACTTTTCTTTGCAATCATCTGTTTATTTCAAAGAAACACTTAACACTAACATGAGAAAACTTTACCCACTTTGAAAAATCATCATCAAAACTGAAGGATATTCTCATCTCTGTTTAACAGCACTGGGGGAAATGACTAAATAATATTTTATGAACTGAAGATACACCATTTAGATTAACAGCTCCATTGCTTATTTAGTTACTTATCTAATAAGAAAGCTTATATCCTGCCTTTCCACTGCCAAAGCATTCTCAAAGTTGGTAGACAACATTTGTTCAAAATAATAGTCTTTCAAGTTTTGTAGTTCTTTGTCAACTCTCAGAAGATATAATAGGATGATCTAACTTTAAGATATTCCAGGCGCCTGTTTGCCCCACATCATCTTACTAAGAATGGCAGGACTGGGAGACTTAAAGAGTCATACAGTTGGAAGAGATTCAATGCTATCAAGTCTGATCCCCTTTTGTGATATTAACATTGACTACACAGACGGTAGCTGACTTTAATGAGCTGCGCCAAAATAGAGGTCAGAAAACGCTGGGACCAAAGATTACAACTATGCTTAAAAAAAAAAAAATCAGCACACTGTAGGGCAAAATAAAGACAGAATGCTCAAGAAACAGCAAGAGGTGGCCAAGGGAATTGGATTTACTATGGAAGGAGAAAAAGACTGGACCAGATCTGTTGTTAATACAATATTTCTGAAACTAAATGTAAATGGAATACAGTGGTACCTCGGGTTACATATGCTTCAGGTTACATACGCTTCAGGTTACAGACTCTGCTAACCCAGAAATAGTACCTCTGGTTAAGAACTTTGCTTCAGGATGAGAACAGAAATTGGGCTCCGGCGGCACGGCGGCAGCAGGAGGCCCCATTAGCTAAAGTGGTGCTTCAGGTTAAGAACAGTTTCAGGTTAAGAACGGACCTCCGGAACGAATTAAGTACTTAACCCGAGGTACCACTGTAGCAGTTCGGCTCTGCAAATCTATCCAGCCATTTCTCCACACGTGTCAAAATCACTTCTATGTCGCTTCCATCAGACAACAGTGACTAAGAGACTGATCTATGAATCAGGACACCACTAGTATTCATCACTAGGTGGTATTATACAAGACATTCACTCAACGTTATTCCACCTTCTGTGATAGAGTGATAATAATTCTGATTTAATTTACAGGGACATTAAAAGTTCTAAATAAAGCATTAGCATTATTATTTTCTTGCTCCATGTGGCCACTGCTGGGAATGAAGAAACTCATATGGAACTGCTGTAACATGTGATACACATAGGACCAAATATAATATGTTAGTTTATGCATTACAGCTGTGTCACAAATCTTATAAAAACCATTCAGAAACAAGATGTGCTATTATCTTCCAGTATATGACATTTATAATTTTGTTGCTATCAGTTACGAAACATGAATTTGTCTCTAATTTATATGGCCTTCTTTATATAGCTGTTCATGTTGATGACAAACCTTTTATTCCCATTTCTGATGGAAATCAGAGGCTAAGAGAGTAGGTCTTGTCCAGATTATTGAAAGGATTTATGGCTAAACTGGAATTTCAGTCCTGGTGCAAGTCCTAGTTTCTTTCAACTGAACTAGATTGCTTTCCATTATTTTACACATATCTCTTAAGAAGGACATAATCATATGGAAGATTTGCATAATATACCCTAAACAGGAATTTGTCAGTGTGGAAAACGAGTTTACTGTTTTTCTACCCAAACTGCAGTAAAATTTCTTTTATACGTGGAATTTGAAAAAGAAGGATTGGTGATCAGCAGAAATTTGGCAGGTGGCGAAAGAGAAGGCTTTCTGAGCAGTGACTCCAGCTCCAGCACCTAGGGAACGCTCTTCCCAAAGACTTTTGCCTGCCCCCCCCTCCTGCATGAATACCTTTTTAGTGCCAGGCAAAGACTATTCTCTATTCAGGTTGTGAAATCTTTTTAGCTCATTAATTTTTACTGGTGATTATGCCTAGGCTGACGGAAAAGGCAAGTTTGATTATTGTGTAATCAATTGTAGTGCCTCAGTTGATTATATGATAAATAAATAGAAATATTTATAAATTTATTTCATAACATTTATATAGCACTTCATCGTAGAAAAAACCTCAATGCAGTTTACAAAAAAGAGTAAACAATAACATTATCACTGAAAAAATTGCAACCATAATTTAAAACATACAGAAAGTTAAAACTACGATAGAATAGACTAAAATAAATAAACTCCTGCAGATTCTTTCAAAACACCTGGATAGGCTTGTCTAAATGGGAATGTCTTCCGGAACCACCAGAAAGAATACAGGGAAGGTGCCTGCCTGATATCAATAGGCATGGACTTCCAAAGTGCTGGTGCTATATGCAGTTTGTTCTTGTTTAATTGCACTGTCTGCTTTTATTGATATATGGTGATGAATGAATAAATACTGAGTAAATAAATTCAATGAGTAAAACCAATAAGAGATATGTGTAACTGGAAATAATTAAGGCAGCAGAGATTTCCCCTGGTAGTTTTAAACATACACTTCAGGATAGGTTTATGGGAGACTGCAGAAAGAGCTACTTTGGCAATAGAGTTCTTCAGTTTTTTATATTGCAGATCCCAAAATACTTCTTGACGCCTTGCCTGATTCATTGTCAACCAAGCAGATTTTTAGACCCCCTGATGGTTAGTTGTTGGGGCCCTTATAAGAGACGGACAACTCCTTCTCCATCAAGACATTTCACGAGGTGTAAGACCAGGCCAATAAAACAAAAAAACATCTCTTACATTTGTAAATGTTTGATCTACTATTGAACTTTTGGTGATGCTTATAATATATGTTCAGTACTTTGTGTCCTTATACAGGAATGTACACTGTTAAGTAAGGTTTTAATCTGGTCTAACAGAACAGATAATAAATCCAATTAGCATACTCTCAAATTAGAAATGCCGCATAGTTACAAATACCTTTCCAATCTGCTGTTAGTTTATGCTTTCCTTGATTGCCCTTATTTTGCCCTCTTAAAACATCAGACTAAAAGTTGATTTTTGTACTAATTGTCCTTCCTTTAGCTCCTATGTGTTTAGTCCATTAAGTTAAACATCCTCTAGTGATTCAGGAAAAATGGCAAGGTGTTAAATGAAAATAAAAGCTTGATGAGGCTTGGTGCTAACTTAATACTTATCACTATGGCTGGTCTGAAACATAGTGGACTGTTTTGCACATCATGTTGAGCCAAACTGTGGCTAATCATGAAATGTGGGGTCCAAGAGAAGAGATTGTGTCCCCTTTGCTCAAACCTGGTTGTACTACTCCTATGTTGTGCTGTGCTAAGCCATGATTTATGTTGTGTGAACCCAGGTTCATGATTTAACTTTCCCAGACAAACCAAGAACTGTAAACCATAGGACAAACACATTGTTCATGGTTAGTGTGGAGAGAGCTAAACATTGAGCTGGACTCCAGACTCTAGCATGCTTGCTTGTTCATACTTTTTCATAGTTGGTGTTACTTGTGAACCAGGCCATTGTGAGCCAGTTAGTTCAACTTTTGATTTATTTGTTTCTCAAAGTTTTACAGCAGTATAGCCATCTGATTCTATGGTAATTGAGATACATCAGATAGTTTCAGTTGGTAGAGATTCCTTATTAATAATTCTGATGTCCACTGTTGCTATTTTTATAATAGACCTTGATTTCCAGACAGTACAACAAATAAGAAAAAAAACCAGGCAGCACTTATGAAAATAGTGAATCAGCTGATTTGATTTCAGCAAAAAACACTGCACATGGAGATTATTAGCGTGAACATAAAGCAGATTTGGCCTTTAAAAGATGTCTGGAACTAGTCCATGAGCAGCTCCTGAGGGATGCTTACAGATAAACCTTTCTCTCACCACATGTGTTGGATGAGATGTTTACTAGTTGGATGAGAGCTGAGAACTGGAAGAGATGAAATTGTAATTATTTTTTTTACCTTGACTTCAGTTTCTGGACTTGTACTATGTGCCCTTTAAAAATGTTCAGGTTCCTTATATTAAAAAAATAGATTAAAGAAGCAAATGATAATAATTTGTGAGCAACTACAGTAGCTTGTTATATCATTATAGAGAAATTATATTGCTGTGGAGTCTTAACATTTAATATTTTATTCACTTACATTCCTTACTGTGGTTTTCAATTAAATTAAGCATTATAAATATGACACATAAACGTGAATTTGCCCCCTGCATATAATCTACCAAGGCTGCTATTAGAATAAACTTTTAACCTGACCAGTTGTACAGTTTTCAGTTTGGCATTTATCTGCCGATCTATATTCCAGATTCTGCACAGTGACATATAACATCAGCAACTATATGGGAAGTGTTGAGAC